TTCCTTTGTTTCACGGCCTCTTCATCGGACCGCGCTTGAGAGGTTCAATATTTCAGATTCCTCGTTTATGTGAGAATTTAAGATCGATTTTGGAATGAAACTAAGTGAAATGTCCACATGAGAATTCACTGAGTCGATCGCTTGGATTTCGAAACCGAAAACTCGGTAACGCAGCTAACCTTCCTTCCCACATGAAAAAGTTAATTTACTCCTCCAAAGAAAAAATTAAGGGTGGTGAGGCGAGATCAGTTTGGAAACCTAGCAACTGAATTGTCCTTGCATATCTACAGCTCCTTAGAAAAACAAGTATGGCTACTCGTCACGAAAATCAATCTATCTGGTCCTATCTGTACTCAAAAAGGAAACAAGTAGCTATCAGAGGAGAAAATTTTCATGAACAGTCTGTAATGGAATTTCAACCTCTCTTTGAGCACATTTTGTTGACTTAAGTTACTTGTCGCAACTGAACTTGTCAAGACACATTTTTCGGAAATGATCCTCAGGCTAAATGCAATTTCTTAGAAATTGTGATACTTGATATGACTAAACAATCTTTGACTTTTCAAGACCACAAAATAGACATCCTTTGTAAAGGTTCTGTACAAATAAGGCAATCAGTGATGATCGCAAAAAGCAGGGCCAATCAGCGTCTCGTTTTGTGACAAACAGGAAACACCTATTGACTCTTGATCACATGGAAAAGTTAGTAAAATTCTAATCAGTGCTTATTCGGTATCCAAGGTTCATCAGAACACTAAAGGTATTCTTTGATGCGTAAATCAGTCCGTAGTAATCGTATGCAATGTGGTCTGTCGCGAGCGAGTTCCCTCATGTGCTATTTCATAGCATTTTGATATTGGTTGAAATACCTGACAAAGTCCTTGATGTCATAATTTATTACATGTATTCTAAAGGAGAGATTATTAGCCATCCCAGCGACAATGTCACTGCTGCCCTCTTCGCCTTCGTGGGAATTGGATTTGCCATCAGTGTCGCGCGAAAACTATTATGCGGTCACAGAATTGTGCAAATATGCTGCAACGGCGACTACAGAGGAGGCGAGACAAACGAGGCCATTCACCTTTGGATGAGTGCAATAAAAGTGTGGCTCGAAGCTTTCCCTCAAGCACTAATTGCTTACTTTTACTTTGGCGACTGTTCGACAACGACAGACGCGAAACGTTGGGGTCAAATATTTGGTTTCGTTTCTCTACTTCCGTTCCTGGTGTTTGGTTTCCACCTCTATTATTACTGCGCGTGCTACGATTGCGGTAAAAGATACAGGTATGACAAGGAACCCAATCTACTGATGATGTTTGCAATGATCGCCACGCTTCTGTTATCCCTGGGTTGTGTTATTGCCACAATCCACTTGATCATGGATTTCAACAAATTCTGTCAGCCACCGTTGGGTGAGTAGCACAGAACTCGTTACCGCGACTCAAAGGCAACGGCGATGCTGCGCTTTGTGTGCAAAATTATTACATTGGAAGTCCCTTTTATAAGCAGTAAAACTCAAACAATGCGATCACTTTTCAGAGAACCATAGATCTTTTGACTTGGTTACTACGCTTACCACCGATGGCTGCATATCTGCAGCCACCAATGACTCCATATCTGTCCATGATACAGTTTAGTGTAAATTTGTCTGAATGTAAAGCCCCTCAATATTGTGCTAGATTTGAGTTTGAAGACCTCAAAGCAAAAAATTCTTTGTTTCAAGAAAAAAGAGTTACCTGTTCTTGGGAAAACGTTTATGCGGATGTTAAGAATTAGAATAAACCAAGTTTTTATTTCAATTGTTTGCAAAATCATACAGTTGGTTACGATTAACTTTATAGATTGGTAGTAATTGTAAAAATACCATAAGTTGGATAACTGAGTTTTTTCCTCTGATATTTAGACAATAGTTGTTTGTTTTAATAGCACAGAACAAATTCTTAACCTGTTATGAGAGATATCTGTCCCGTTTTTGTTTTAGATTTCCACGATATGTTTGAGGTGGTGTGATATTCAGCAACACTCGCAAAATAAAAATTTAAAAAAGAAGTACTCACTTTTCCAAAATTTTGTCTTGTTTTGTGGTGCTGAACGATTCCAACTGCAGGGATTCCTGAGTTACGAACGCCACGGCCAGATGAAAAAAATTATTCCACAACTAAAACGAAGAGAAATAAGGGATTTAGTAACCAATGAAAACAACAATATACTAACAGTGCTCTCAATTAAACCAATTTATTTGGTTTCAAATGTAAATCGTTGCCTCATAGAAAGGAAACGAGTATCTTGTTTCGTGTTCATTTTCGGCCTTTAGTTTATAACAACGCTCGACAATAAACTTCAGTAGAATGATATCCTTCGAGTAAGTGCACGCCAGTTTAACCCTTAAATGCCCGGAGGTGATTAATATATAACTTCTCTCTAAAATATCCATACATTACCCAGCAAACAAGTAATGAGCATACTCAAACTTATCAGGGAGAAGTTATTATCTTGCCATAACACCAAATTCTTATAACTAATTTACGGTCTCACTATTCTTCCTTCTCATATGCGAGTTTTCTTGTTTTCGGCGTGATATCAAAAAACATTCACAAAAATACTCACCTGATCCTCAAATGCTCCAGCTCCAAAGTGCTCCTGCATCGCTTCAGAAAAATACTGAATGGCATTCAAGATCACGCTATATTGACACAAAATATGAACAATCAGGTAGCGAAACGAGGTTAACGATATTAAAAGCAGTTAAGTACACGAGACAAAAAGGTAACATGGGTTTCACGTTTTAAGAAGGTTCTCAATGAAGCAGTGTCGATCGATCGCCCGCCCGAGCCACACACCTGTTCTGAACCATGGTCATTACCATCCAGTCTTTAGGAAAGATGTTGTTGCTCACAAACTCGCGAAACAGCATGAAAAGTTCCATAAGAAAATCCTACGGAAGAACAGGTGCATAAGGTAGTTCAGTATTTTTTCACAAAGAGCTTTATTTGCTTCTGCTCTTCTGCAACACCACGGTTTCTTTAGAAACTTACCCTCTATTCATGACGGGTAATGAGTCTACGTATGTCTTCGTGCTTACAGCAGTTTCGAGATATGTTGTCGAAAAAAAAGACAAAAGTGCACGCGACAATCACAAAAGGTAATCTGGGATTCCGATAATCAGTAAATTTTTTATCGATCAAATAAACAAAAAATAAACAAGATCATCCATCCCGCGAGACCTAGTCCTTACAAAGACGTCTTCTCAGATTTCCCTGAAATCCTGAGGTCAAGGAATCGTGACCTGAAAACTACCCAAAACACCTTTCGGGGTTGTCGCTTGCACTTTCCCGCTTTTTCTTACAATCTTTATCGAAACAGCAGTGTACTACGAAGTTTAGGCCCTCCAACAAGAAAGACGATCCAACACACCACAGTGTCCACAAAAATATAATGGAGACTGTGTTTCCCCGTTTTCCTTGTGGACGACATGCACGTAAATACTCTTTAGGGGGTCGTTATATTTTTCTGTAACAACGCCTTCCATTCTCAATCTAAATACTTACAAATAAAAAAGTTACGAAAAAAGAGAACAACGTTTGCAACAATCATTGCACAATGAGAAATTTTTAGAAATGATAAAAGATCAATAATTATGAAACTCACCAGCAGATCCTGGTCAGTTGGAAAGTGTTGTACGTACAGCTGGTAGTGTTTCTCGTCCATCTGCTGTAGCATGGCTATCAAACACGCCACGTAGTTACCCTGATACAAGAAAACCAAGTCAAACCCGATTTAAAGCAAGAGCTGGTGAAAAGCCAATCACCCAAGTCACATGCGTGTCAATCAATCAATCAATCAGCGCGCAAACAGCAACTAATATCTAATAACGGGCAGGAAGAACACGTCCCGCTCGTTTTAAAATGAATCAAAACTTAGCGTGCAAGATTACACTGCATCATGCATAAAACGCAGTACAAACTAAATTGAAAAGAAAAGCACCTTGTCTTATATAGCCGTTTTCAATTGAGTGTTAAAATTCATTCATGTTTTCTTATGCAATAATAGAGCGCTGTGAAGCAAAATTACTGAATGCCCGGATTCCGTCCGGCAACAAAACAAAAATACCTACCACAACAGCCAGCGACCGATCCATCATGATCACAGCTTTCACCACATCACGCAATAATGACGTTGCCAACAAAAGAACATCGTCGTGGGTGGAGCCCTGCACAGATAAACGGAATGTTATGATCGTATCAACCACGAAGGCTCATCAAGCCTCGGTCAAATGATAGCTTAGTGTGCACCGAGGGGAAACCGAATTTAGTGTTGATGACGTACGGTACTTGTAAAGGCCTAATTCTGAACAACATTAAGAAAAATGTTTTGGTTCACGAGATATCAGACAAAAGCTACAACAACGTAGCACTGAATTTGGAATTTCCCGGAAAAAAAGTCTCGGAACAAGGTCCAACAACACAAGCAACCCACATGTGACACCACGTCTGGGAATGGAACCCGGGCTAGAGCGGTGGGAAGCGAGCGCTCTCACCACTGCGCCATCCCCGCTCTCCACTTCCCTGGGTTTGACTCTTATCTGAAACGATAAAAGCTTTAAAAGCCTACAAAATATTCACGAAAATCGAGTACATGTACAAAACGTTCCTCAACTCACCACATCATTTCTTGTCAAAATGATCAAAATATCGTTCATGATGTCGATACAGCTCTTCATTTCCTCACTTTTATTTATCTCGTGTTTGAGTTGTTCAACAATCATGGGGAGGAGAACATAGCGTGATTCTGTTAAAGAAGATATAGATTACTAACAAAGCGGTTTTTTTTCTTGTAAACTTAAACTGTGACATACTAAACGATTCTTGCACCGTTCGCAGCTTCCTAGCAATTAAAATTTGTTCCCAGGTTCCATTTGAGGCATTTTCTGCCACCATGTCTTCTTATGGTAGGTCATGTGATAAAACTGTGAACGCTGATTGGGTGACTAAACTAGCGATTGGCAGCGAGAAGCGAATAAAATGGCGGGGAATGGCAAAGTAAACAAAATAAATGACAAAAAAAAAATGCCTGCATGCCTGCATGCCTGTTATGATAGAAGCAATGACATCATTTTGGTAGGTTTTTACAGAAAGTGATCGTGCTTTTTATATGACTATAGACCAACAGTGAAACTTGACTTGCTTCTGTAGCTTTTCTCCTCCGCTGTACAAGAATTGCAATCGAACAACAAAGAACAACGACATGAGAAGTGCAAACTTACCTTGGTCTTCAAAGAGCTTCGATTTCACCATGTTATGGATGCAGTCCATTTTCTGAGAAGTCAAACGCTTCTCTGGAATTTTCTCGATGAATTCCCTTGCATAGTGACTAAATCAAACAAAATAGCGTTAATGTGTTGCAATTTAGCCCCAATTGTTTACTTGAAACTAAAACATATATCTCAGGGCATTAAAATATCGCCCTCAATCAAACCAAATTAAAAACTCGCATCAATTTAATTTTATCATTATACTTGATCTTTTTATTGAGGAAGGACAGAAGTTCTCTTTGAACGCACTATGCAAGTTACAACCTATCTATTTGGTTACATATAATACAAACCTAAGTTCTTTGCTATCAAACACAAGCATCAAGTCTACAAACGTTGCTGGGAAGTATTTCAAAGCAGCTCCCTAAGATAAGAAAATGCAAAGCCAGGAGAAAGTCAGATTTGTGACGATTTCAACGTTATTTAGGGCGTTGGTGAAAAAGCTTACTAAAGTTCAGATCCTATCGCATTTTTGTCCTGGGTTCCACGAATACTAAACTCAGCCCCTGCAACCTACACAGACTGTTTTAAAGTATCAACCGTAACAATTTACACTTTAACCCCTAAAAGTGATTTGCATCCTATTTCTCCTAACAATATCACCCCTCAATCAAAGTCATGCGCAGAATAGAGAAAATTATTGCCAGTTAAACAATCTCTTGATTGATGAAGAAATTCTCCTTATCAGCACCATAAGAGAGGTGTAGAAAACAGTACGGAGAACATTTGTGGTGATGTTAAGGCGTAAAGGGCTATAGAAGCTTCTCTTCTTCCAGTACATCTTCAGACATTCTTTTTGTGCAATACAAAACTACCATCATAGGAGAGACTACAACATATTGGGTCAGTAAGATAAAAAAAAATTAATAAAAAGCAGCAATAAACCAACATGAATCAAGGAAGTCTATAGGTAGGGAAGATTGAAACTGAATGCAAACGACGAACTTAAAAAAACTCGAGGCTAACTTTTCGTTCTCTGAGGAAAAATAAAAGGTAACACCTTTATCGTCTGTTAATTTGTGTAAAGAGTTTTTCACACAATGGAAATAATCAGCGGTGTTGCACTTTTATCCCATTTGTTCTCAATTTTTTATTGGCGCAAAGCTCACTCTGAAGAGAATTAAAAGCATGAACTTTGCCCCAAATGAAAAAATATTGGTATACTTGTGTGAGGAGGGTGTCTTTCTTGACATCTGCCATGAATTGTACCAGAGCTTGAAACAGGTTTCTCAACTTCTCTTCAAATTCGGACTGGCCCTTGTCACCAACCGCTCTAGGATGCAATTGATAACATTAAAGAAGAGATTTCGCTTACTTCTTGGGAAATGAAAATAGAAAAATTGTTTCTAGATGATCATCTCAATCACACCACCTTACCTTAAGAACAAAATTCTTGACTGAACAATGAATTTGAAAATGTACTCCATGGCCTATGGGAGAAAATAATACGCTTGCACTTTAATAAATGGCAGATTAATTGACATAAGGGCTGAGAGAAAGACGGATAGCCAGACAGACAAACAGGCAGGTGGACAGTCAGACAGAAAGACAGATAGACAAGAAGACAGACAGATAGACAGACAGGTGGACAGTCAGACTGAGTGACAGACAAACAGACAGACAAATAGACAAACAAACGGACAGACAGACAGACCAACAAACATACAGGCAGGCAGACAGACAAACAGAAAGACGGACAGACAGACAAGAGGACAGTCAGACTGAGAGACAGACAAACAGACTGACAAATAGACAAATAGACAAACAGACGGACGGACGGACAAACAGACAGACTGACAAACAGACAGACAGACAGACAGACAAACAGGCAATCAGACAGATCGACAGAGAGATAAGAAAGAAACGAAGTCAGTCAAGCAGAAGGCAGAAAATGGAACAGACAATCACAAAGTAAAGACATGGCACAAGAAGACAAACCGAGGGATTGACACAAGACAGGGCAAGCCGTACCTTCATAGCCTTGAGAAGAAGATCCATACGTATTTTATCCGGTTCTGCTGCTGTTACTGCATAATTTATGTACTCCAAAAATACCGAGATGAGAATGCTGCGATCAGAATACAAGTTGCCAAAAGTTATTACCATCGTTTGTACTTCAGTAGATAACAAATTACAAACAACGACACTTTTATGAGCTTTATCATAAGAGATAATTAAACATTCCTGGAGCTGCCAAGCAAAGAGAGAGGTTTTGCCTCAATCCAGTTTACACAGTCCAAATTCCACTCTCACCTTAAGATACAAGCAGGCTAGGAAGCTAAACTAGTTATTTTAGTGAGCCTTTCCCATATATGACTGACATGGACGCATGTGAGTGCCCAGACTGTTTGGTAATCTTAATAACTTCCCAGACACCGTATGTCTTAGTTTATATCCAACAAGTAGATCACTCACTGATCTGCTTTCGTGGCTCCAAACAACTCTTCTATGTAGGCATCTAACACGGGTCTAAAATGGTGATACTTTTTGTCTGCCAGCAAACTGATAGTAAAGACCTGGTGAAAATAGAAGAACTCCGTCGCTAACAACAAGCCCTGATCTGTAGGCGGTGTCAAAGTAGTTTGAGTTTCCAAGTTTTTTGGGTCGTTTTCAGTTTGCCTGAGTGTAGGCACAGATAGACAAAATGGAAAATAGGATGATTCTGAATGAAGAAGATCACCAAGGATTTAAAAAACCTGAGACATTTTAGCAACACTTATTGATGTCCAACAACCGTGGGAAAAAATTTAGAATTTCAATGCCTTTTTAAAACTTTTGGCCAACGTCTGTGTGGTTCTTTAAAGTGATAACTCAAGGAGTATATGTTATAAAAGTACGAAGTAAACTGAAGTTAAGGTACTAACAAGTAGGGGGTGACAGCTTTTGAAAGTACTCCCCCATTACTAGCGAACTGACAAGACCCTTCAACTTACCAAGGCGTCAAACACAAGCCTGTCATACTTGTGCGCATGTTCCATAAGAATTGCAAAGAGTGCATCAAACGTATCTGTCAAGAACTGAAAATAAGACAGTCGAAGTCGAGTCGAATTTCAAGAAAAAATAAAACAAAAGCGACAATTCTTAGTTCACATAGTTTTGGAGTCGCACTACCTTGCGACCAAATGAACAAACTCGAGATTTTTT